AAGCATCCAATAAGCTTAATGATTTGCTCATACACAAACAAGCAAATTGGATAATGCCTCTGCTTTTGGCTCTTATCTAACTTGATGTGGGCAACTTTGTAGAAGTCTTGTCAACAAACCGAATGAGCCACTGAAAGTGAGGCATTCATTTTAGCCATAAACTTTGATGAAAGTTTTTCTGTTGCTAGATATGAACCAGATCCCAGGAAACTTAGAAATAACAGAAATAGGGCCAGGTGCAGTGGCTCACGCCTACAATCGCAGCACTTTGGGAGGCCGAGGTGGATGGATCACAAGGTCAGGAGTTTAAGACCAGTCCAACCAACATGGTGAAACCCCATATCTACTAAAAATACAAAAATTAGCCAGGTGTGGTGGCGCGCGCCTGTAATCCCAGCTATTCAGGAGGCTGAGGAAGGAGAATTGCTTGAAACCAGGAGGCGGAGGTTGCCATAAGCCGCTATTGCGCCATTGCACTCCAGCCTAGATGACAGAGTGAGACTCCACCTCAAAAACAAACAAACAAACAAACATAGAAATAGCATTATTCGGTCCTTAGTGATAAAACACCCATTTTTCCTTGGGGTCAAAAGTTTGGGTCACCTGCAAATACACAGTCAAATTATTTTCAGCAAATGCATCGAAACAATTCAAGGGGGAATTGAAAGTCAAAAACAATTGGATATCCCCATGAGTAAAACTAACCTCAGTCCTTACTCACAGTATACACAAAAATCAATTTGAAATGGGTCATAGGCCTAAATGAAAAAGCTTAAACTATAAAAGTTGTACAGGAAAGCACAGGAGAATATCTCCAGGACTCAGGAGTAGTCAAAGGTTTTCTGGTTCACAGCAAGCAACAATCATGAAAAACAAAGTGATAAACTGAACTTTGTCAAAATTAAAAACTGCTCATGAAAAGACGTTATTTAAAAAACTAGTCAGCAAGCCACAGATCGGAAGACAATATTCACAACACACAAACATCTGACAAAGAGACTATATCCAGAGTATGTAAAAGAACTATTAAAATTCAGTAATCAGAAGATAACCAAATTCAAAAATGGGTAAGAGACTTGAACAGGAAGATGTATAAGTTATTAAGACATATGAAGAAGTACATGACATCATTTGTCATCAGGAAAATTCAGACGAAAGGTCCACTGAGAACTGACTATCCATCCATTAAAATGGCTACAAGTTTTAAGAGAATCTGATGCCACCAAATATTGGTGAGGAGCCAGAAGAACCATAACTCTCATATACTGCTGCTGGAAATGCAGGACAATGTACCTGCTTCAGAAGACTGTGGAAGAGCTTCTTCTAAAGTTAAACACACATCTGTTCTATGGTCCAGCTGTCCTACTCCTATTTGTTTATCCAAGAGAAATGAAAGCATGTGTTCACAAAAGCACTCAGACAAGAATGCTCATAAACATTTTATTCATGCCTAAAAACTGGAAATAACCCAAATGTCCACCAATGCAACAGATAAACTGTATATTCATATAGTGGAATACTGTTCACTAATACAAAGAAGTGAACTACATGCAACATTGGTGAATGTCAAAAATATTGTGCAGAGTGAAAGAAACTGTACACAAGAGAGTACATACAGTATGATTTCACTTGTATGAATTTGTAGAACAAGCAAAACGAATCTATGGTGTAAGGAAGCAACGTGAAGACAGAGGCCTTGACACTACATGGAGAGAAAGAGAAGACCAGTCATCCCAGTGTCCCAGCTGAGCCTAACCCAGATCACAGAATGATGAGAAGTTGTTGTTTTAAGTCACTAAGTTTTGGAGTGATCTCTTAATCAAAAATCATTGCTTTCCTCATGGAATTGTCAGAACAAAATGATATGACACTCATGGAAGGTGCTCTGTAAGTGGACAAGTGCTAAGCATTTGTGAGTGGCAGTTATCTCTAGGAATATGTGCAGGTTGGGGTTAGTGGTCTTTAGGGATATAGCCATTTAAGAATTAACCTGTGGAATTCAGAGGTCTTATTACCCAACCAATATAACGTTTGGTTTCTTCTATCCCTCTCCTCTCTCTTGAGTAGCCATCCACAACTGCTTCTGGGGAAGAGAGAGAAAAGAGAAAAAGAGAGAAATTCATGGTTTGTTAAAAAATAGAATTACACTTACAAATGGCCAGAGTAGAAAAGAAAAGATGTACCAACTTCATTTATTTTGTTAAGGAATGGAGCTAGATTGAAGATTAGCCAATGCTTATAATTATAATTTTTAAGACTCTAAGAAATACCTTTGAAGTTACAGAAGGATGGAGAGAAAGGAGGGAGGTCACCATGGTCTAAGGGGCTGGTCCTCAATCTGGTCCATGACATGTTGATCAGGCTCAGGGGAATTAAATGAACCAAATTCCCAATAAACTGCTTGATCAACCAGGATACCAGTTATCCACTTGCAACAAGAAATGCAATTTCCAAGCCACAATATTCAGCTCTGCCAGGTGGTAAGGAGAAGATTATTCTGGAAAACTAGATTACCTGACATGATGAGAGTTTCATTCCAGAAACATGGGGAAGTGAGGACAAGTAGAGAATCATGAGCAGGTGGAGCACTTTGGGTGTGCTGAGTAATGTCAGTGGACTGTTATAAAAAGCTTAGGTAATGCATCTTTTATGTACCTGGAATCTGCAATCTAATAGATTTCTAACCAGGCTGAGAGGAGGCTCTCAGTCCTCCCAGTTTATGGGTTTACAGGGATGTGAGGAACTCAACACAGGGAAATAGCCTCTGTCTCCAAAAAGATAGGGAGATGGGGTCCCTTTTTTATGATAAACAATGTAATAGAATTGATGGATATTGACAATTCATGAAAGACTATTAGCTCCATGCCCAGCTCAGACACCTTCTCTAGACTCCCTCTCCTAAGTGTCCATGTCACCTCCATCTATCCATTTTTGTTAACATTATCTTATATTGTTTGTTTATATGTCAAACCCTAAACGATGAGTTCTTGAAGGTTAAAATTATGTCTTATTCATCTTTTTTCCCTGGCCCCCCGCATAGTCGCTAGCATACATACAGTGGTACTCAATAAATGCATGTGGCATTAATAAAAGTTTGCTGTTTCTGGAATTTGTCTGAAACCTGAAACACTGCAACACCATCTCCCTTAGAACATCACCTTACCCTTTTGCCATAATTTTAGAGTGAGGATGTAGAGGTCACCCGACTACTACGTGTCCTTTTATGAGGAACCTGCAGCTCAGGGCAGAAAGGCGCTGGCTGGAATCACCCTGCCAGCGTACCCTGAACCCCCCACCCCTGCGCCCCCTCTCTCACATTCCCCTTCTGGGAAGGTAAACCCAATCAAGACTCCTACATATCCCTCCCTAGGGACTGAGCCTGGAGTCACAAAGGCCGTTAAGCCTCACTGAAATATTTGTGCCCATTCATTCTTGCAACCCCTTCCCCAGATCGAACTACGCTAGTGTTAGTAAGGAGATGTCGGGAGGGAGGGGAAGAATCTGCCAGGGTCCGCGGGGAGCTCTCCAGGGGGCGCCGCGGCTGCGTACTAGCGCCCCACCACCCCACGCGGGAAGGGAACTCCACCCCACACAGGAGGTCACACGCAGCTCTCGGGGACCAGGGGCGCCGCGAGGTCAAACTGGCAGACAGAGACGCCGCAGCTGCTGTGACAGCCAGGAACGTCGAAACCGCCTTAGGGGATACTTTACAAAATGATTTTAATCACCGTGCAGACCTAATAACTTGACCTAAGCACAGTCACCTGTTCTCATCCAGAGTAAATATTCCTAAAACCCCATTCAGTGTGTGTGTGTGTGTCTCTTTCCAGTCTCCTTCGGTTTCAGGCAAGTGTTTACTCCCCCCCACCCCCGCCACCGTTAACGGTTAACAACTCTTGGCAGCGTGGGAAACAGTGCCCAGTAGCTCAGTCCTCTGCTCGCCGCTCCACTCTGCTTTTTGCATCCCATTCGGACTTATAGGAAGTATTTTTTGATAGTGGTGGAAACTGGGCAAGAAAGAAGACGCTAGGCTTGGCTGGGGCCAGGAGAAATATTTAGAAGAGTCGTTACCTTCAATCCGATCTAACCAGTCATCAAACTTGGCTATTCTTGGAACCACCTGGGGAGCTTTAAAAATTATGGACCCTTGGATATCACCCCAGAGGTTCTGATGTAATTGATCTGGGATGTGGCCTGGGCATCGGGATTTTTTTTTTAAACTCCTCAGGTTATTCCCAGTTTGAAAACTATTGATATAAATTTCTCATTCCTCTTCCTACCCAGACCAAAAAAAAAAAAAATCTGAGCCCAAGTTGATGTCCCAGGGAATCTGGCACCTGCTCCTCTGCAACCCGCCAGTGCTGCAAGGTCCGGGAAAATCGGCGCGTGCGGCAACGCTAAACAGGCGGCGGCTGGGCGGACGGGCCGGGCGGGCGGGGCCGCGCCTGGCCCCGCCCCCGCACGCCTATGGGCGCGAGGTGCGGGCCCTGACGTCACTCTTGTCAGGGCCGCGGCACATGGGCCGCCGGATGCGCTGAGCCCGGCGCTGCGGTGCCGCGGAGCGCTGGGGACCAGCGGCGGCCGGCGTGGGGAGGGGGGGTGGGGTGGGACGGCGCGCCGCCTCCGGTGCTGGCACTAGGGGCTGGGGTCGGCGCGGTACCTTCTGCCCTTCTACAGTCGTCGTTGTTTTTCTTCTTTTTTTTTTCAATTTTGAACATTTTGCAAGACGAGGGGTTCGAGGCAGGTGAGAGCATCCTGCGCGTCGCCGGGGAGCCCGCGGGCACTTGGCGCGCTCTCCTGAGACCGTCTGCACTGGAAACCCGAAAGTTTTTTTTTTTAATATATATTTTTATGCAGATGTATTTATAAAGGTATAAGTAATTTTTTTTTCTTCCCTTGTTTCCAACGCCTTGAGAGCGAGTACTTTTGGCAAAGGACGGAGGAAAAAAGCTCAGCTACATTTTAGGGGGCGGTTTCTTTTTTTTTTTTTTTTCTTTTTTTAAGGGGGAAAAAATTTGAGTGCATCGCGATGGAGAAAATGTCCCGACCGCTCCCCCTGAATCCCACCTTTATCCCGCCTCCCTACGGCGTGCTCAGGTCTCTGCTGGAGAACCCGCTGAAGCTCCCCCTTCACCACGAAGACGGTGAGCGCTGCCGCGGCCCCGCTCCGGGGGTCCCCCCGCCCTGTCCCGCGGCGCCCCGGACCCGCTCTGATGAAATTGAGGAGCTCACCCAGCACCCTTCTTCCTCCTCTTCCTCCTCCATGAAAGGGGAGGGACCCCTCCTGAGCCGCGTTTAAAAGCGCCTCGGGCACCCGGCCTCCCTGGGTCCCGCTCCTACGGCGCAGGTGGGAGGTATAGCTTGACAGGTCAGGATCATTCCCTAGAACCAGGCACACCTGCACGCAGAGTGACCCCACCTGCGGAAGGCAGAGCCTTCCGGGCTGGGAAGGAGAAACCCCGGGGCCTGGTTCTGTGCGGGGCAGGGGGCGGGGGTTGGCCTGAGGGAGGGAGGGGGGGTCCCACTGCGTGGCCCGGGTTTTGGGGTTATGTTACATCTTCTGTTATTGGTTAGTATTTGGAACTCACGAGGTGTGAGCGAAGACGCGTTTTCTCCCGGTAAAGGGTAGCTGAGAAAGCGGGATGGGGGCTGGGGCCGATGAGGGGAGTGGTCTTTCGGCGGGAAGCCGTGCACGCCTACGGCGCTGACACTTTCCCGGTGCACTTTTTCTGGTGGGAGGGGAGAGCTGAGCAGGCTCACGTGTAACCGCGCAGGAGCCTCCTCTGGCTTGAGCCCTTTCTTGGTAAGTCCCAAACCTTCCCAAGACAACCTTGGGGGTAGCAGTAGAGGAGGGTAAGTGCGACGACGCCCCAAACCCAGCTAGTGATGCCACGGATTTGGGTTGATGCGGTTTCATGCCTTCAGTATCACAGTAGCAAATGCGAACCGTGTGGCTCAGAGTGCAAAGTCTTGAAAGGTTATTTGACTACAAATAGCTTGGGAGTCCTTGCATCTTCTTTCCTAGGAGGGGACAACCTGTTGCACTGCAAGAGTTTGCAATCTGCAGATGATAGCCAAGGCCCCCTCCTTAACTATCCTTTTAAGGAATAGCATTTGGGAGGAAGGGGCTGCCTGCAGGCTTTTGCATCTGTGAGTGTTTTAAGTCAGATTTTCAGATGAGACGGTAGAGGGTTAGAATGGATGGCAGTGGAGGCTGTGTTTCTCTGAAGATGAAACTCAGAAGCAAATTCCTTAATCCCAGATTCCACCCACAACTGAATACTAGAATTGGCAAGATCCAGAATGCTTGTTAAAGACCTAATGGGCGAGCAGTATTTCCAGGTTGAAAATAGCTGCATACTTCCAACATAGGTGTATAGAATAACGCACCTTTTCCAATAGCTGTGCTTTTGAAAGGTTTTTTTAAAAAATGCATACTTTTTGTAAATTGGGTCATACTCAAATCTTTGGAGAAGAGAAGAGAGAAAATACTTTGTATTTTTTTTAAACTCCTTTTGTAAAAATCAGTGTGCCCCAGTAGCTTTAGAAGCAAACATGTGAGCTCAGAAAGTTCTCATTTTTCTTCTCTGCCAACATGAGGCATTGGTCAAGTTCCTTCATGTCTCAGAGCCCCCAAGTCTTTGTTGTAAATGGAGGCAACTGCTATTTTGCAAGTTTATTGTGAGATTTTTGAGATGTTATACAGAAAGAACCAGGCATCCAGTAGGTGCTCTAAACATGATATTAAAAAGGGTGGAAGGTCCCTGCTTTACCAAAATTAAGACCGCTAACTCACACTGGCTTTGTAAGTCTAATATAAATGACCTCATATTCCTGCTGCGATGAAGTCCTGGAAGATAATTCAAGCCTGGTTATTGGCTGTTGTTTTCTTTAAAATGACAGCAGTTGTATATAATCACAGGTGCTATTTTCCTATTTTAGATTTAAGTTATGACTCTTCTCAAATAATGTGCTGAGACTGTTCTCTGGTTTTTATCCTAGATCAGCCTGTAGCCCTGTCCGAAGGACTAGTGCTTTCTTTCCAAAGTAAATAGGAAGATGTTGAAAAACAGGCAGAGATCCACGTCCTGCCTGAACTTTTAACTTTAGATCCACAAAAGACAGCAGCCAGAGAAGGACCCTGCCATTCGTGAGTAGTTTTGTAACAGGCCAGGAAGAGTGATAGAAGAGGGGTATTGTTTTTCTTTCCTTTTTTTTTTTTTTAATTCAACTTTCCCTTTTTCTGCAGCATTTAGTAAAGATAAAGACAAGGAAAAGAAGCTGGATGATGAGAGTAACAGCCCGACGGTCCCCCAGTCAGCATTCCTGGGGCCTACCTTATGGGACAAAACCCTTCCCTATGACGGAGATACTTTCCAGTTGGAATACATGGACCTGGAGGAGTTTTTGTCAGAAAATGGCATTCCCCCCAGCCCATCTCAGCATGACCACAGCCCTCACCCTCCCGGGCTGCAGCCAGTTTCCTCAGCTGCCCCCTCGGTCATGGACCTCAGCAGCCGGGCCTCTGCACCCCTTCACCCTGGCATCCCATCTCCGAACTGTATGCAGAGCCCCATCAGACCAGGTAAGCTCTCTGAAGAGTCTCCCTTTGGAAAGGGAGGAGGAGGGTGAATGGGACAGGCAAGGTAGAGTTAGCATAAACATCTTATTAACACCCAGGCTTCAGCAAAGATCCTAAGAGATGAACCTTCTGCTCCACTCCTGGCAGAGGCTCTCCCAATTTAATGAGCATCCATATCACTCATCGGGAGAGTCTGGTAAATACACACTCTTTGCATCTACCTCTAGAAATTCTGATTTTGCAAGTCTGGAGCGAAGGCCCAGGAATATGCATTTTAACCAGCTCCCCATAGGATTCTGATGCAGCTGATCCAAGGACTGCAGTTTTAGAAATAACAACTTACAGTTAATTATTTGGATAATTTAAGCCTCCATCTCATCTCCTGTCTCTTTTCCTCATTTTCTAAACACATAGATGATAGATAGACTCGTAATAGGGTTTGATTTACCTACATTCATTCTTTTCTGTCCTGAAGGAAAAAAAAAAATGTGAGTAGGGGCATGAGGCAGGTATTTTTTTCCTATCCTTTCATCTCGTTTTATCATTAGCTGAGAAATAGAATCTTAAAGCATGCTCTCATTTGTGCTTCTTAGCCTTCTTGAGGACCAGACTCTGTCTCTCTCAGTGCTATTCCCATAACCCCAACTGTTCTTAATATATATTTTTTCATTTTCATCTGTCCATCATACTCAATCCACCTGTATCAAAGCCCACAAGGCTGCAAGGTCAGCTGTAAATGATCTTGAAATAGTACACAAAAATATCACCTGAAATGACCAGTACTTCAAAACCCACTAATGCTCAGATATAAACACAGATTGAAGCAGCTTTGAATTCATGCCTTTAGCACCCTGTAGTACAAAATGAACAGGAAGAAAGACAATTTCATGTGCACAGGTAACCAGGAACAAAGATTCAGCCAGATAAATCATCCAGAAGGTCACAAAGCTGAGGGCCTTAGCTGTGGGGGAAGACAGAAATCAGGACAATGCGAAACTTGTGCTAGAGACTGTTACTGAACTCCGTGTCCTTGACTCTTATAGAAATTTCTGTGGCACACAGAGTGAGATTTAAATGGAAGGAAATGATGCAAGGGAGGAAGGGAATACCCCTGCCTTGATATGTTCATATTAGAGTTAAAGTTCTTTCTTTCAAATCTCTGCGTGCTGGCCCCTTCTCCAAAATTCACTTTGAATTATGACTCAAGGCTACTGTCTGGAATAGAATGAAGGGGAGAAAGGAAGCAAAACACACTGCCATGTGTGTACCTATGCAACTGTCCTGCATGTTCTGCACATGTACCCCAAAACCTAAAATGCAATAAAAAATTTAAAAAAAAAAAGAATGAAATCTTAGCCTCCAGCCACCCCTGGACGCTGTGGGGGCTTGGGAAAACACTCCTTCATGTGATCCTAAGCCCCTGCGACTTAGAATGTGCGGTGGCACTATCGTCAGTTTCTTTGTAGGAACAACCAGCAAAATTAATAACCCTTCATAGTGAGAAAATAGCCAGGAGAGAAGGGAACAGAGCCCAGTGGGAGACACAGTTGTGCCTCAGTCATTATGCTTTGTAGACTGAGAATCACCACTTTGTAGCTTTGTTACCTTAGAAAGCGACATCATTTTTGGAGTATCAGTTTCCCTTTTCATAGAAGGATACAATTTCTATTTGATTGATTTATTGTGAAAATTAGAGATGATATGTATAAAAGGTCAAATGACTAGCAATGGATGTTCTGTTGTGGAAGCAGTTGTGATCATTGTCATATGTGTCAACTTTTATTACTTATTTCAATCCCTGTCTTCTGTAATACCTTCTTAAAGTAACTAGGTACTGTACATAACCCTTCCTCCGGAGAAAAATGTCAGGAGATTTTTTTCCCAGTAGTTACTGGATTGGAATATGTTGACCCTAGCACTTGTAATCAATTAACAAGTGTTTCTCAGTCCCCTACCAAATTTAGGATGTGCACCATGTTAGGGATACTGTATTTTTTTCCCAAGAGACATGCACATTATTGGGTGTCCACACCTTGGTTCCTACTGAGAGTCAAAAATTGGGGTTTGGGAATTTGAAGCAGCTTGAAAACTCATTTGTCAGAGCTTCTTAGAGTCAGTACTGATCAATGACTCTCAGAAGCTTGGGATGCCCAATCAGAGTTGCAGTCTATAGCAAAGAACTCCTGAGTTTCAGGGGCTATCATTTTATAAGGTTGGATATCATTTTGTAATGGTGGAAAGACCCTGGGATCAAAGGGAACACTGAGGGTCCAGAAATAAGCTCTCCATTTGAATGTCTTATAAAATAATGAAAACACACTTCAAAATAATTTCCTTCTTGGAATTGAAACTTCGATGATAGTCCTCACAGAAAAGGAAGAAAGTTAAACCTTGTCTTCAAATACCAAGCTCAGGTAAACTAGCACTCGGGTGTTCACAGATTGTTGATGATTATAAAGTTTACAATGCAAAATAAAATTCTAAGGGATGCTGGCTTGATGGATGGACATTGCAAGCAAACCTGAAAAAGGAGAAAGTTCTTGAGTATTCTGTGTGACCAGAATAGAAGTACCAAGTTAATCTTGAGGAAAATAAGTCTTCAGAAGGGAAGAGCACAGATGTAGCCTTGAGCATTCTGGAAATTGTATAATTTCAGTCTTGATCAGTGTTTCTCAACCTTGGCACTGTTAATGGTTCGGGTAAGTCTTGTGGGCCACTGTTCTATGCTTTATTGGATGCTTAGCAGCATCCCTGCCCCTACCTCCTAGATGCAAAGTAGGAGCCCCACTGCCCCAGGTGTGACAAGTAAAAATGTCTTCAATCACTGCCAAATGTCCGCTAGGCACAATAAAATCACTCCCGGTGGAGAACCACCCATATAGAACTTCTACTTGGACAGCAAAATCTGGACTTACCCTGTCACACGAATGGATAAACCACCTGCAATGCTTTATGGCAAAACTTTTAAGAAGGTCAGGAGACACTGAGTTACCAAGAAGAAACAGAATATTAATAAGAGCATAATTATACACTTTAGTTGATAAAATTAAGCCCTCAGGCTAATCAGGAGATCATTGCAGAGTAGTTTGCCAAACAGTTGTTTTTGGCTATTCACCCAGCATGCGTCTTTTGAGCCATGCTCCGTTGTGGAGTTAGTGCTACCTGTGGTTGAAAGGCAGTGAAACCATGAGCTGACAAAGTATGCATTTTTAGATCTCCTCCAAGGATGTCTTGGAATGACAGGGTGAGCATTCTTGTGAATTTTTTTTTTTTTTTTTTTTTGAGATGGACTCTCACTCTGTTGCCCAGGCTGGAGTGCAGTGGTGCAATCTTGGCTAACTGCAACTTCTCCCTCCCAGATCCAAGCTATTCTCTTGCCTCAGCCTCCCTAGTAGCTGGGATTACGGGCATGCACCACCACGCCAAGCTGATTTTTGTATTTTGAGTACAGATGGGGTTTTACCATGTTGACCAGGCTGGTCTTGAACACCTGACCTCAAGTGATCTGCCCACCTCGGCCTCCCAAAGTGCTGAGATTACAGGCGCGACCACCGTGCCCGGCCTATTCTTATGAATTCTCATGCTATTTACCAGGCCTGCCCCACCCCCTTTCTTATCTTGGGCACCCCATCCCTGTTCCTCTATCTGACCAGAGAATGAATCAAATATCTGAAGAAATACAGTTTTCTTTCAAGAAACAATCCAGAGATTCATTAAAACCTGTTGTGGCTATTGTATGATCATTGAGCTTTCTGGGCTGACATCTTAATGAAGGGAAGAGTGGTGGTTCTGGGATGCCGGAGCTAACTGCAGGGGCTCCTCAGTCATCCAAGGGGCAGTCTCCTGAATGTTCCTAGGCCAACAGAGATGGCAGGAGTCATTCTGATGGCTTCAATGTTTGCATTTTAGATACTATCAGAGGTGGCATGTGGGGGTGCTCTCCTGGAGGTATGAATATGTGCTGGGTACTGGAAAAAGAAGAATCTGTTTGCCCTGAGAATTGAGCGATTGCTTTAAGGACAGCCATCCCTTTAGGGAAAGTCATCTATAGCAGACAAAGGCAGAGTTATTTTTATATCACATGCTTGTAAAGCCAGATTTGAAATTGTTTCCTCTGGTTGTTTTTCTTTGAATAGCTGGGGGGTGTCCTGCCACTGTTAAGCCCATATTCTGCTGAGAATTAAGAAGGCTGTCTTTCTAGTTCTGAGCACGGAGACCGGGTTATGATGAAGGCTGGTTACAGAGTAAAGTGAAAACCTTTCCATGTGATCCTGTGTGGGAAGAGAATGGCATAAGTGGGTGGCACAAAAGGAATGAGGGTGGAGGAGAACCCGTTATACCTTTGCAATATGGAGTTTGTGTTCTGTTTCTGCTGACCTTCGTTGTGAGAAGGTTTGGGTGTGGAAGGAAAATGCTGGTCTTGGAATCTGAGTAATGATGGAGGGAAGTTCTGTGCAGATGATTCTGGGTTTATGGAAGGTCAGAGGGTTCTCCTGCTTTTCCCAATATAATGAGATGAAGCTCCCCTTAAGGGCATGCAGTCATACATCTTTCCATCCAGCAGACTGATACATCTGCAGGTTGGGAATGCCATGACTGACTGTAGCTTTGCTTGGTGTCTGAAGTATCTTGGAAGTGCTGTTCATTCATCAGGGTCTAGGAGATCCTGAAGGGGAGGGAGTCTATGTGGTTCTGGAGGCAGGTAGACATTTTTCTGTGTCTCATAAGAGTTTGTCTTCCCCACGGAGCCCTGTAGAGGACAGGCTTGCTTACATTCACAGGATAGTAGTCCCTACCTAGCCTGTGGCAAGAGGTATTTTTGGGTACGTCTGGAAAACAAGGCAACTTGGTGGCTACATGTGTGGGCTCTGGGCTCAGGGGCTTGCGTTTACTTTGTGTGCCAATTTCTTAACCTGTTTAAGCCTCAGTTTACTCATCAATAGAATGGAAATTATAAATGTTTCCTCCCCCTTGGGGTTTTGGCAAAGTGAAATAAGATCACG